GCAGAGATGCAGAGGAGGCCAATGCCCTCTATCCTGACGCTCGACACCCAGGGGTCTCCTACTCAGGGCCAGAGATGCAGCCCCAGCTGCCTTCTGACTGCTCAAAGAAAGGAGAAAGGAAGGGTCTTGTCTCGAGCATCCATGTCCAGCCACTTAAACCATCATCTCTGATCCTCCAAGCATCCCAGAGAGGCAGAATGAGCCCTTGTAATGCTCAAGAGAGGAAAGAGACCAGACAGGCAGAGACTTGACTGGGGCACAGGGTGAGGAAGTGGTGGGATTTGATTCCAAAGCCTACCCAGTCTCCTTGGAGGAGCGTCTCCCCTGAGGGGTGCTCAGCATCTCACACTGACTCCAGCCAGCAGGGGTTCCAATGCCTCTTCCCGGCTGCTACCCTGGGCATCAACCTCAGTACAGGCTTGGTGGGCCTGGGAGGGAAACCTTCTGTCCAGACAGATCTGGGTTGGGATCTTTCCCTACAGCTGACTAATGATGTGACCTTGGAAAGTCATCAAGCCTCTCCATGACTCAGTTTCCTTATCAGACCATCAGGAGTTGGGCTGAGAGCATCAGTTCTTAGCCCAGGAAGCACTTTAGAATCACTCTGCAGCCTGTAAAAATAACCTTGCCTGGGCTCCACCCCAAGAGTCCTATTTAATTGGTCTCTGCATCAGTTTTATTTTAAAGCTCCCAGGAGATTCTAGTGTGCAGCCAGGTTGGGAACCACTGATTTCTGCACTCTCCAAGGACTAGCCTTTCCAAATCCAACATTCCAAATGGATCCCTGGCCCTGAGATCCTGTTTGCCAAGAACCAGACAGGCAACCCTTGTTCCCGCCCGCGTTGAGACTCTTGGCAGCTTAATAGGACTGGACATCAGCACCATGGACAGCGTCCCTCGTCCCCACCCATCCCAGCCCTTCTTCTGGACGTCTGACCTTGAACCGGCTGCCACCTACTCATTTCCCTTCTCCTTTCTTGCAGTGTCTCCTCTCTCACTCACCTACTTCTATTCCAATTGACCCCTCCTCTTACCTGTAAGTCAGGATACATCACACTCACCTAGGTTAGAATTCTGCCTCTCCACTTCCTTTCCAAAAGAAATCGGCCACATACTGTCCTCGGTGCTGAACATGGAAATCTATTTGATTTCTCACAATGATCCCGAGAGTTTAGTAGCACTATTACCTCATTTCATAAGTGAGGCCATTCAGCCGTTACTTAACTGTACTCATCCATTTCTCCATCTGCAAAGTGGAAATCTTTTCTTAAAAATTTATTTATTTGAAAGGCAGAGTGACATACACACAGAGGGAGAGAGATCTTCCATCTGCTAATTCACTCCCCCAAATGGCTGCAACATCCAGGTCTGGGCCAGGTTGAAGCCAGGAACCAGGTGTTCCATCCTCATTTCCCACATGGGTGGCTGGAACCCAAGCACTTGGGCCATCTTCTGCTGCCTTCCCAGGCATTATCAGAGAGCTGGGTCAGAATCAGAGTAGTGAGGACTTGAACCACATTCCAATATGGGATACTGGTGTCACAAGTGGTGAATTAACCTACTGCACCACCATGCCAGCCCCAAAGTGGAAATCTTAGCAGTTATTGTAAGGTTTAATGTGTAAGTTCCACAAGATAATAAAGATAAAGGGCTTATATCATAGCATCTAGCACGAAGTAGTTATTTAATAAGTGGAATTTATCATTATTATTGATGTTGAATAATTACATAAATTAATTATGGGCTTCATCTCACAACAGTCACATATTGATTTTCAGGAGTTTTGTAAACCTGTTGGTATCACATTAGTAGCCTGAAATTGGAACATAGTGGGAGCATTTGCACCTTGGGAATCAACAGACCCTACAAAGCCATGCATTTCCCACCCCCACGCCAGGCCCTTCACCCCAGAGTACATGGTTGACCATTTCTACCATCTATATCACAGATGATATCTTCATCCATGTCACAGATAATGGGAGATGTGGTCTATGGAGAGACTGGAAATGTTGGTGCATTTTAAATAGAAACTGTTGATCCTGGGGGTATGACCACAAGGTGGCCCCACAGCAGCCACAAGCCTCATCCCCTTTTATCTGCCAATGCTGGGGGCTGACTTGTGGAGGAGGTGGGAGGGGGTGTAGGGCCTGGGAGCCAGTGGTGAATCACTGACCCTCCACTGTCCCATGTCGGCATTAACTGTAATGGCCGCAATAAAGAATCCCGGATTGGGGAAATGATTCCATCATCCCCGCGGGAGTTCCTGGGATGCAGCCAGGAGAAAGAGAGAGAGAGAGAGAGAGAGAGAGAGAGTTCAGCCATGCCCCTGGGGAGTCACTCAGCCCAGCATTGTGCTTTGCTCAAGGGGTGGGGAACAGGAGAGGGGGAGTGACGGGAAGACCCTGTCTCCTAACAGCCACAACAGCCACTGTTTATTCAGCATCCCCCTGAGCCCAGTGCTTTTGTGTCTTCTCCCATTCCAAAACCTCTGTGAGAAAAGCAGACTGTGCCACTGTGCGGGCCATGTCTCTCAAGAGTACAGCAGCAACCTGCGTTGATTGAGTTCTTAGCATGGGTTGGCGCTGTCCTCGGTGCTGAATGTGGAAATCTATTTGAATTCTCAAAATTCTCTTAGGAGACTGAGATAGGAGAGTTCGTGACATGCCTAAGTTCAAAATCCTTCTGTTTAAAATACTCATCTCCTAATTTGTTTTTCCATGATCATTAAAAAAAATTATTTGAGAGACAGAGTGAGACAGAGAGGTCCTATCTGCTGGTTCATTCCCCAAATGACCACAATAGCTGGTGGGTCAAAGATGGGAGCCTGGAACTTGACCCAGGTCTCCCACAGGGTAGCAAGGACCCAGCCTTCACAGCTGCCTACCAGAATGTGAACTAGCAGGAAGCTGGGATCAGGAATTTGAGCTGGGAGTCAAACCCCGGCACTCCCAACATGGAAAGTGTGTGTTCCAATCAGCATCTTAACTGCCAGGACAAATCTACCCTAGATCAAACTTCTATGAAGCATCAGCGCCATCACTGATTGTGACAGTATGCCAGGCCACCGACCCGAGGTCACTGTGCCTTTGCTGACCCTTTGCTGCCCCCAGAAGGGCTCTGGCATCACAGAGTCCTGAATTCAAATCCCACCACTTCTTCACTCTGTGCCTTTAGTCAAGTGTTTTCCCGATTGGGCTGTTTCCTCCCCTGTACTATTGGAGTGGCCCATTCTACTTCTCTGAGATTCCATGATCAGAGAGCAAGGATTGAAGAGGCTGGTGAAGCTGGATGTGCAGTCAGGAGACACCTGGGGCACCAAGCATCAGGAGGTGGCAGCTTGGCTAGCCCTCTTTTCCAGGCAACTCTGACATGGTTGACGTGAAGCCGGAGCCCCCAAAGAGAGTGGTGCATTGCAGGGCCGGTTTAGGAGGCTCCAGCTGGGGGTGGGGGTGTGCGGAGAGGGAAATGAGAAATGCAAAAGAGTGAAAAATAAATACATGTGTCTGTCTGGAATGATCGAGGGCCCCAGGCTGGAGGCGGGAGAGGCGGGCAGCAGGCTGGGCTCAGCAGAATTGCTGCAGTAGCAGTCCAAGCTCACTCATTAGCCAGGCAGTGAGCTGGCCTCACCTCCAAGCATGTCCCTCTGCTGGTCCAAGGAGCCCAGCCCAGCCTCAGGGAGGTGCCCAGCCAGGCAGAGGGTGCCCAGCAGAGGGCATCTCCCTGAGACGGGGTCTCCTATGCCGCCCCTTTGGGTCACACCCTGCGCTCCCTCCCCCCAGACTCCCTCTAGGCCTTCCACCTCACTCCCTTCTCTCTGGAAAGGTGCACATGGGCCAAGTGGCTTTCCTGGCCCTGCTCTCTGACCCCTCCCGCACCCTCACGCCCACCCCCACTCGGTCTAGCTTTCGTCAAATTGAACATGATGTCAAATTAGAGCCATCTCTGGGACAGGCCGAGAGAAGCTCCCAGTTTAATGAGGCAGCGTCGAAAATCAATAACTTAATTGCCACAGTTTGATGGACTTTTATCCAATTTATACTCTCCCCAGCAGCCTGCGTGCTGAGCATGGGAAGAAGCATGTATGTGCCTGGGAGGGGTTGTCTGGGCGTGGGGGGAGGGGCGGGGAGGGCACCAGGGCTTGCAGCCAACTGTTTTCCAAAGGGAAAGCCAGACACTGCCTCCCTCCTGCCAGGGGCCAGGAGACACCAGCCTCAGAGCCACACTGAGCTTGGCTGTCCCTTGTGGAGGAGAGCACTGGAGGCAGAGGTCCCGGGAGGAATCGGGAGAGGCTGGAGTGGGTAGAAAGAGGTTGGGAGGCGGGTGGCTGGTTTCCAGTCCTGGCTCTGACTCCGACTGTGATGGCCTTAACTGGTGACAGTGGGACGTTGCCACTACTGAGAGCCTACTAAGAGCCCCTTGTTATTTCTTAAATAAATTTACTTTATATTTATTTTAAAAGCAGAGAGACAGAGATTGAGAAAGAGAGATCTCCCAACTGCTGGTTCAATCCCCCAAATGATCACAACAGCCAGGGCTAGGCTGGGCAGAAGCCAGGAGCTGGGGACTCAATCTGGATCCCCCACACAGGTGGTAGGGACCCAAGTTCTTGAGCCATCACCTGCTGCCTTCCAGAGTGGGCACTAGCAGGAAGCAGAGCCAGAACCTGAACCCAGGAATACAGATACGGGATGTGCATGTCCTAGCTCTGCACCGTACCCCCGCCCCAGGGCTGGGAGTTCAAACTTCAGCCCCTCAGCCTGGCTAAGCACAGGCCGGAAATTTTGCTGAAGAGGAAGCGGAGAGCAAAAGAGGCTGCCTTCCCTTGCGGGAGTCCTGCAGCCGGGAGCCACCCAAGGGAGATTTGAGTCCCGACCCCACCCCATGGTCACAGTGTGCCCTGCTCAGGGAGTGGGCTGGCACTCAGCAGCCCTCCAGAGGGGGAGGGGAACAAGTACAGCAGCCAGGAATGACCTCTGTCCTGCTTGGTCCCCCGGGCCCAGGCACGTCGGTGATGCAGGTGATGGCTTCAGACGCGGATGACCCCACGTATGGCAGCAGTGCCCGACTGGTGTACAGCGTGCTGGACGGCGAGCACCACTTCACTGTGGACCCCAAGACCGGTGAGGACTGTGGCGTGGCTTGGGGGTGGGGCCAGGACCCCACAGCTCCAAGGACTATATAGAGGCATCCTGTGGGGAAGAAGGAGGGAGAAGAGGGAAGAGGGAAGGGGGAGAGGGAGGGGGAAGGGGGGAGGGGGACAGGAAAAGAATGGGGTGGGAGGACTCCTGAAAGACTGGCAGAGAAACAAAAAGGCAGGATGTGGCCACTGCAGGTGCGCTGGAAGGACCTCGGAGGTCTGCACCGAGGATCCCCACTGGATCCCCACTGGATCCCCACTGGATCCCCACCGGATCCCCGCGGGTCCTGGGAGCCAAGCTGGGCAGACCCTTGTGCAGCCCTAGGGGGTCGTAGTGCAGGTTGGGGGAGGGGCGCGTTGTCAGCAGTTTGGAAGCTCAGATTGCGTGTGGTTGTTCAGGGCCTGCTGGAAAGAGCCTTAGGGAAGGAAGGCTGGCTGCTTTTTGCTTATTCACTCCAGCCCGGGCAGCACCAGCCCCTGCACCGTCTTCATCCCACGCCCCTCGAGGTTAGGACCTGACTAGTCTCTGGGGAGCCTGGGAAAATGCCCAGGAGGACAGAATGAGGGCACTGAGGCTCAGAGAGGTGCAGTGACTCATTGGAGGTCACGCAGCTGGGAGCACTGTGGGTGCCAAGGTTCCAAAAGGTGCTTTCACTGCCCTGGGATAGAAGGGGGGTGGCGGCCACAGATATTTCAGATGCTCTTTGTCCTGTGGGGCAGCCAGGCAGGCACGTGCTGGCTGGGTGGGACCACAGGATTCTTGGAGGCAGTGGCAGCCATCTGCAAAGGATGGAGATTGCAGAGAAGGGCATTCTAGGCAAAGGGCATGGTGCAGGCAAATACCGGAGGAGAAAACAGCCCGAGGCTTGAGGGGAGTGGGGGGCAGGTCAGTGAGGACCGGGCCTGTGGGGAGGCGGTGTGGGGAGGCTGGCGAGCCCAGGGCCCAGTGCACCTGCTGGGAGCCAGGCAGAGCAGCTTAGGAGGTGGGAACTGATGGATTTGGTAGGGGGTTTCGTTTGTGTGTTTGACTTGTCTGGGGAGGGGAGCATTCCAGTCTATGAACACAGTTACACTCTCTTCCACATAATATCTTCACGATTTTTTTCTCCTTGTAAAATGCATTTTAGAAAAACATTAAAGAAATGTTTAAAAGGAAAGAAAAAGCAAAGCCCTCGCACTCCCTGTCTCGGGTGGATGCTTGCCGATGCTAAGGTAGCCACCCAGCGTGTACCTCCTCCAAGACCTTGGACTCATCCACTTGGAAAATATTAAGTCATTTTTTAATATATAATACATTTCAAGGTTCAAAATTCAAAAAGTCCAAATGGGTACTTAGTGGCAATTCTTCACCCCATCCAGCCACTCAGTCTAAGTCCCCAAGGCAACCGGGGTAATTTTCTTGTGTATCTCTCAGAGCGATTGTATGCATGTACAAGAGAATAAGGTGCGTGTATTTGGGCTTTTTTTTTACATAAATGGTGACTGTAAACACACACAATATACATTGCTTGCCTTTTTCACTTAACAATACATCTTGAAGATTATTCCGTATCAATCTGCAAAGAGCTTGCTCATTCTTTTATTTAATGCCTGTTATGGATACACTAAAATTTATTTCACTAGTCCCCCACTGATGGACAGTTACGCTCTTTCCAATCTTTTGCTACGACGAATAACGCTACAGTGAATAACCTCATACATACATCATTTTGTGCTTGTGTGAGTCCATCTGCAAGATAATTTTCGGGAAGAGGAAAAGCTGGGTCAGAGAGCACATGCGTTTGGAATCTCGATAGATAATGCCGAAATGCACCGGTGATGCACCCGCCAGCCACCTACGAGAGTGCCTGTTTCCCTCCTCCTCGCTTCCACTACCAGTTCATTGATGACTTCTAAGCAGGAAAGTGACATGCTCAGGTTTTCATTTTAACAAGATCCCTCGGGCTGTTGCTGTGCAGCTTGGCTCAAAGGCAGGGAGGTCCCAGAGCCTGGGATGCCTGACAGAGGGCCCCAGAGGACAAACACGGAAATCTACACCTGTTCTGCACACCTGCTCAGACTCCCTGGCCTGCCCGAACAGTGAGGAGGCCAGAGGTGACGGAGGAGTGCCGGTGGGTTCTCAGAGAGCTCCTGAAGGGGGGAGATCTTGCATAGGGCAAGCCTGGGGGTGGGGGATGATTATACGGGACCCGGATGTTGGAGGAATAGGGGGCTCCCGAATGCTCCCTCAACCCAGCCCCCTGTGGTCGCCTGGCAAGGGCTCCACCTACAGAAACAGAAGGAGGACTGTGGATGAGGGAAGTCGCCTGAGAGCAGAGGCGCTCATGACTGTGCCGCAGGCCCGGTCAGACTAAATAGCCCAGCTTGAACCATTGGCTTAGATGAGACAAGAGGAGGAAGAAGCATCTAGAACTTCTTGCAGCCACTTGAAATACGGGTCCGGGCTCCAAGAGTGGTTGGGGCTCTTTAAGCTTTGTGACCCCAGGTGCACGTGGGGGCCATTCAGACCCACCTTGTACTGTCAGGGTGAGGATTCAGTGGGAGGGCTGGCTCATTCATCCATTCAGCCACTAATAACCAAGTGCCTGTTATGAGCCTGGCTCTGTTCTCAGCACCAGGAAGGCGGCAGTGGAAAATTCCAAGACTCGGCTCTCATGGAGCGTGTGTTGGAGTAGCAAACGCAGGAAATAAGCAGACATGTGGGACATGATGTCGGGTAGCAGTGAGTGCTAGGGAACACACAAAGCCGGTGAGGGTGTAGACTGAGGTTAAGAACTCAGGAGGTAATCCTGGGTGGAGACCGAATGGCGGGAGGGGGTCAGCCGCGTGGGTCCTGGGCAATGCTGACCCCCGCATTGTCCTGGGGGGTGATGAAGGTGAGGACGAACTCTCATCCTCTCAGCCCCAGGGGTGGGCATCTTAGGGCGGAAGAGCCCCCTGCAGGTGGGGAGAAGACAGAGTGTGGATGCACAGGAAGGGCCAGGCCCGAGGCTTGCAAGGTGGCAGGGGTGGGCAGAGGGAGGCTCGGACTCCCGGGGAGGCAGGAGGGATCTCTGCCGCGGGTGGGCAGGAGCGGGTGGCAGAGCCCTAGACCAGCAGCCAAGGAAGGGAGCGCCGTGCGAGGCAGGTGAAGGCGCTCAGCGGGTGCCCTGTTCTCGGGACCCCCACCTCCCGAGTCTGGAAGGGTCTTTGCTGCCGTGCCCCGTGCAGAACCAGCCCTGACTTCCCCTTGCCCTCAGCCCCACCGCCGGAGCCGCCGGGTGCAGTTTCCCCAGCCAGGACTGTGCCGGCTGCGGGGCTATATTTAGCAGCCACTGCGAGGTACAGCGTGTTCTCGCTGTGCGGGTGGCAGGGAGCGGAGCTGGAGCGGCCCAGGGGAAGGTGTGAGGGGAGGGGGCAGGCGGGACACCTCCGTGCCTGGGGAGGAATTAACTTGTGTGTTTTAAAGGCCAGGCTGCCAGCAAGCCCCCGACTGGGGCAGCGGGGATGGCATTTGCAGGCTAATGAGGTGGTGCCTGGGCTCCAGGGTCCCCCTGCAGCACGTGGAGGGGACGGTGGGGGTGACGAGGACAACAGCTGGACGCGGAGGCGATGCGGGCGGGCAGGGCTGCAGGGAGCTGGGGCGAGGTTATAATTACCAGCCCCCGCCCACCTGCACCCCGGCAGGCGCAGACAGATTGTCTGAGACTTCAGGATCTCCGCTGAAAATTCTCAACTGGGCCACCGCTGACCGTTTTCCCCGGGGAGGGAATGAAGGGAGCTCCCTTTGGTTGTGCGCCTCCCAAATGCCAGACCCTGGGATCGGGGCGATGAACTGGACCTGGCTTCTGCCCTCGTGGAACTTCTGTTCTGCCCGGGAGGCCGGAAACAGACACACAGCTGCCCCTCGGGACTCTGTCAGTCACTGGACACGCTGGGCCTTTTGTGCCAGGCCGGAGAGAGATGATGATGAACGAGACCTGCCTGGAACTTCCGCACGGGGTCCCTAGCCAGGACTTGAGGAATGGGATCAGCAAGGCGTCCCCCAAGGGTGAGACCTGCTGCTGGAAGCCCCCTCCTGCGTGATCCAAATTTCCCCATCAGTTATCTGTGACCGTGTAACAAAAAGCCCCAAATCTTGGTGGCTAAAAACAGCTTATTATTTGTCCCAATTCTGTGGGTTGACCGGGCATCGGTTGGCTGTCAGGTGTCTGGGGGCTGACTCAGCAGGGGACAGCTGGCAGGACTGGGTCTCTCTGCGTGTGGCCTTTCATCCTGAGCTTCACAGCATGGGGGTCTCAGGGTTTGCCAGGCCCCAGCACACGAGGGCTCACCAAGCCTCTGCTTTTGATAGACTTGCTGGTGTCCCATTGTCCAAAACAAGTCACATGGCCAAGGTCAGAGTCAGTCGGGTAGGGGACGGCCTAAGGGGTCAGATACTGGAGATGTGGGTCATTAGGAGCTATCACCACAACAACCCATCGCAGAGTGTGTGTGTGTGTGTGTGTGTGTGCACATGCGTGCACATGTGTGTTCGTGACCCTAGGAACAGCCTTCAGGGCAGCTTGGCCTTGGGGCACACATCCGAAGACGGCACCTGAATCACACATGGTCAATTCCCAAGTTGGAAGAGTTTGGTGGCAGGGGCAGCAGGAAAGCCACACCACTCTCCTTACCCCCAGGGGCAGAGGCAGACCCTTGCTCCAAGCCCCACTCAGAGCCGCGGACCTGGGGGTGCATAGTGCACAGTGGTCCCGATGCTCCCACCAAACCTCTCTGTCCGGTGAGATCCCAGACGTGGAGTGGCCTGCTCAGAGCTCAGCATGTGGTCAGTGTCCCGTGAAAGCCAGCCCTGCTTCCGGCTTGGTGGCCGCAGCACTGCACTCTGTCTGCCTGTCCTCTCCCTCCCACCTGCCCGCCGTCTCTCACCACCCCTTCCTGTCTCTCACCCTCTCTTGTCTGTGTGTCTGCTGCTGTCTTATGCTCCAGTCTTCTCTGCTTTCTTCCTCTGTCTCTGTAGCGCGCTCTCTCTCTCTCTCTCCCTCTCTCTCTCTCTTCCTCTTTCCCTCTCTCTCCCTCTCTCTCTCTCTTCCTCTTTCCCTCTCTCTCTTCCTGTCCCTGTATCTCTCACTGATTTATCCCTTTTCATTCCTTCTTTCTCTCTCTGCCCCATTAGGCCCTCCTCCCTCTGCGCCCCCTCCCTCCCCGTCCCCTCTTCCTGTCTCTGCGGTTTCCCTCCGCTTGGCTCCCTTCCCCCGTCACTAGCTTTCTCCCTCCAGCTCTCTCTCCCCAGCACTCCCTTCTCTTTCTGCCTCCACCCTGAGGTCTCTCCCTCTCCCCCTCTCCTCTCCACCCCCCGCCCCCAGGATCTGCTGACAGAGGCAGCTGAGGCCCTTAGGGTCCCAGTTTCCACTCCCAGCATTTTGGTGCAGCCCCCAGGGTGCAGTCAGAGAGGGCTTGCTGAGGGCTTGAAAGCAGCTCACTTATTGGCACTGAGGAGAGCAAGGGCGAGACTCCAGGGGCTGGCCCAGGCCCACAGAATGTCCCTGTGTGTGTCAGAGGCCTGGCCTCTCCCCCTGGCGCCTGGGATGGGCAGGGGACATGAGGGGGGGCTGGGCAGGGACCTTCCGTCCTCACAGTGGCCTGGCAGAACAGCTCAGAACACAGACTCCAGCACCAGATGCCTGTTTGATTCCTGGTGATGCACCTTCTGCATGTGTGACCTTGGGCAAGGAACTTAGCCTCTCTCTCCTCATCTGTGCAATGGGTATAATCACAGCCCCTCCCTCATGTGGTTGCTGAGGGGATTAAATGAGGCGATTCACTTCCGGAGCTTCGAGCAACGCTAGGCTCCGAATAAACACACCTAAGCAGTAGTGTTGCTGCTAGCGAGATCTCGCGCCTGGAGGCCCAGGGCGCTACTAAAATCTACAGTGCACAGGGAAGCGCTCCCCGCTCACACACCCACACTGCAAAGATCATGCTGCCCGGAATCAGCGGTGCCAAGTTTAAGAAAGACCTCACGGTTGCTTCCATTTTACAGAGCAGGAAACTGAGCTTCGCAGAGGTGAAGTGGTTTGCTCAAAATCACGTGGCCAAAAAATAGCAGGTCTGGGATTCTCCCAAGGCAGTCTGCTTCCAGGAAACCCTGTTCCTAGGAAGATCAGTCTCTGCGGGGGGCGGAGGTCAGGCAGGGGCCCACGGAGAGGTCACGGAGGCCACCAATATTCCGTGTGACATCCGATGACCCGGAATACCCGTTCCCAGTCTCCGTGTGATCCCACAAAAGCAGGCGGCACTGCGGCCGTGGGGCTGGGGCTGTGTGGGGACATCAGGAGTCTGGGCTTGGGTTTTATGGGGCGCATTGTGGGGCTGCTGGTGCATGACTGCACCTGGCACTCGGGCCCTGGGCACCACCTGGCACCACCTGGCGCTCGGCAGGTTGGGATGGCTCGCAGGAGGGGCTCTGAACACCTCATCAGCTCCCCTGCTCAGCCCCGGTCTCTGCTACTGGCAAGGCGACAAGACGCCTCCCTCCGCTGGGCTCCGCCTGCGGCCCACCCCCGCCTGCTGCCCTCAGCGAGCAGCCGGGCCCGGACAGGGAATCTAGGGCCGGGTGGGGGAGGCCAGAGGGCAGGCCCTGGCGGGGGGCATCATTTGATTGCGGAAGGTGCAGGAGAAGGAGAGTGTGTGTCGGGAGCTTTGTGTGGGTTCTCAGCGATGCAGTCTGAACGTGCGTGAACTGGAGCGTGCGCGTGTGCGGGTGAGCGTGTGTGAGCGTGGGCATGAGTCCAGGTCGCTTTGCTAAGCCCTCACCGAGCCCCTGCTTCGTATGTGGCGTTGGGCTGAGTGCTACCGACAGAGAGCGGGCGGGCAGAGGCGCGGCTGCTGCGGCTGACAGCAGGTGGGGAGACTGAGGCCCCAAGGGGGATGGCTGTGGGGGAGGTCGCCCAGGGGCAGACTGGAGTCCACAGCCGTGTTCAGTAAGCCTCAGGGGCCCCTTCTGCTGCCCTTGTGCTGTGTGGTGTGTGTTCTACAGAGGCGTTGGTCAGTATTGTGTAAGCGCGCATGTGTGTGCAGGTTTGTGGGAGGATGTGCATTTGAGAGAGCACATATGTGTGTGTGTGGCAGGTGTGTATGTGGGTATGCATGTGTGAGAGAATATGCAAGTGTGTGTGCATGTGTGTGAGCATACCAACGTGTACGCACGTGTGAATGTATCTATGACTATACCTGAGTATGTGAGCATGTGTGTGATGTACATGAGTGTGTGTGTGTGTGTGTGAGTGTGCAGTGGCTGGTGAGCTCACCCCGCCTTGTGGCCTCACTGATGTCAGCATCACACACTCTCCTCCTGAACTTGAACTAATACAGAGCTCAGCAGGCCTGGTCCTGTCCCAGTCTGGTGGGGGTGGGGGTGGGGGTCTCCAAATCAGCAGGCGGGGGGTGGGAGGCGTGCCTGGCCTCACCTTCACTCACCTGCAGGTGTGATCCGGACGGCGGTGCCTGACCTGGACCGGGAGAGCCAGGAGCGCTACGAGGTGGTGATCCAGGCCACAGACATGGCCGGGCAGCTAGGCGGCCTCTCGGGCTCCACGACCGTCACCATCGTGGTCACCGACGTCAACGACAACCCGCCCCGCTTCCCACAGAGTGAGTGAGGCCTCCACAAGGAAGGCCGCGCCTGCCCGCCTGCCTGTCTGACCAGCCAAGTCCCCCCCAGCCCCCTCCAATCGCGCATCCTGCAGAGGAAGGCCCGGCCGTGTCTGACCCCAGGTCACCTCTGCACGTCCCCACCTCCCCATCTGTCCCCATTCTGTCTAGCACCCAGGCCTGAGCGTTGTCCAGCTGTGTGCTGCTGGCCCAAGCTTGAAAAGGGAAGGTGGAGGCGGGCAGTGTGGGGGATGGGGACAGGGACGCAGAGGTGGCCGCTGTCCCACTTAGGCAGAGAGACACCCAGAGCTGCACACGGACACGCTGAGTCTGCCTGCCTCCTCTGAGTCTGTGCTGCTGAGTTGGGGGCTTTTTCCAGCCTCTGGCCCAAGCCCCCAGCGCCCTATCAGCACAGCCAGTGCCACTGTCCCCGGCTCAGGCAGAGAGCCTCGCCGCCGGGAAGCTGGAGCTGGCAGAGACTAAATGCTGCAGGGAGCTGGGCTGATTCCTATCGGGCGAGTCATTACTTGAGGTCCACTGCTCTCACATTAGGCCCCGCCACAGGGGACTGACCCCCGGGAGATAAGGGAATCCAATCCGTTAGTGGAGAGCGCAGTGGCACGGGGCCTGGCGCCTCCACCCAGACACAGCGTGGGGCGGGCAGAGCCCGGCACAGGGGCCAGCCTTCCACCCCACGCCATGCAGAGGGGCCTGCTGTCCAAGTGCCTCCCAGCTCTGGGCCGGATCGGGCGTGGCGGAGCACAGAGGAGGAGGCCGGGACCCCAGGAAGCCCTCCTTGCTTGGCTCTTTGGCTTTCTCGTCCTTGTAGGTTTTTTTTTTTCCTGGCATATAGCACACAGTCACAAGCACACAAGCTAGAAACATCCGATTCAACAAACATCATGAAGCGAACATTCTTGCACCCACCACGCCGGCACACCATCTCCCCAGACCCAGCCGTAGTCCCGACCTCCGTCAGGCCACCATTACCTGCTCGCCTCTTTTTATCCAGTCTGTTCCCCTCCGTAGGCATCGCTGAACATTCCGATTCTGCCCATTTTTGAACATTATGGAAGTGGCATCACAGGATACGAATTGCATTGCATCTTGTGTGTCAGTCTCTGAAGTTTCTGTGTGTGAACTCCTCTTGCTACTCATTTTCATTGCTGTGCAGTTTCCACCTCTCATCCGCTCCCGTTGGTGGACACCCGGGCTGTTTCCAGCCGGGGGCTATTCAAGGGGGCTCCGCTCTGGCACCGGTGCACGCCTCTCCAAGGCCCGTCTGCACTGATTGTTCCGTAGTGTCTACGTGTGAGGAGGGAAATTGGCTGCTCGTGGGATGTACTTATCTCCAACTTTAAAAGGCCAAGCTGTTTTCTCACAAGAAGAAATGCAGTGTCTGTTATACCACGTCCTCGCCAACACTTGGTATTGTCAGATTTCTAAATTTGCGTTCATCTGGCGAGTGGACACTGGTAATTCCGGCAGGATTTCATTCATAACACTTGCTCGCTCCTCACCCATCTCATTGATGCAAAGCCCGAGGTCCTGGCCAGCACTGAGAATGCCTGAGGCAGAAGGAGATGTGGTCCCTGTCTTCCAGGAAAGAGAGAGAGAGAGGGGGAGAGAGACAGAGAGAGAGAGAGAGAGAGAGAGAGAGAGAGAGAGGCAGCGAGAGTAAAATGCGGGATAAGCCCGGGGCCTCGGGAGCACAGGAGCAGAGCCGGGCTCTGGGAGTGCTCCCTGGAGGAGGCGGCAGCGGTGAGACTTGCAGGATCCGGGGAGGCAAAGGCAGAGGAGTGGAAGCGGGGAGGCCTGGAGGTAGCCGAGAATGAGTCATGTGTACAGAATCACAAGAACTCAGCCAGGCGGAAGCTGGAGTCGGACTGGGAGAAAAGAGGGGAGGCTGGAGAAGCCAGCAGGGGCCAGGAGGCAGGGGTTTTGCAGATGAGCGAGCGGCTCCTAGGACTCCAGCCCAGGGGCAGTGGGGAGCTATGGGGGGGGGCTAGAACAGGGGAGCCAGCCATCTGGCTCATGTGGCAGGGGTTAGAACGGGAGAGTGACACGTCTACCTTGTGTTCTAGAGAGAGTCCCCCCCCCCCGGCTGTGGAAGAGGCGGCCTCTCCACACCAAGGTGACCCACACATGTGGGGGACCCAAGGGTCCTGTTCCTGTCCCCACAGCCTCTGCTGCACCAGGGCTGCCCATCACTTCACAAATCTTCCTCACCTTGGCCTTGGCTCTAGGAGACAGCAAGGCGCTGTTGGGACTGTCTGACCTCATTCCTCTCCCGTGCCCTCTGCTGCTCCCCTCCAGCCGCGATGGCCATCTTGCTGTCCTTCAAAACACGCCAAGCATGGCACACCTCAGGGCCTTTGCACCTGCTGCTCCCTCTGTCTAGGTTGCTCTTACCCAGTGACTGCTTGGCTCACTCCCTCACTGCCCTGGACCTGAGCAGAACTGGCTGCTCTGCCTGTTAAAAACTGCACAACGCCCTCTTCCGCAAACGCCGTCTCCTGCTTATTAATTTTTCTCCCGTGTTCCCCCCACCCATGGGCTCACCGTGTGTTTCACTCATGTGATCGCATTAAGAGGAAAGCACCGTGAGAGTTGGGGTCTGGGTCAGTTTTACTTGCTGTACGACCCAAGTGCCTAGAACTCCTGAGGTCTGGGACCATTTGGGGCAGCACGGGTGCTCAATGCATACACTGAGAGGAGGGAATGAATGCAGGAGACGCCCATGGTTCAGTACAGCTCGTTCCATTTAATGAGAAGCCATCGTGTGCTAAGCATCTTACTTACATCATCACCAGTGTTGATCGAAGGCACCAGCATTATTCCCATTCTACAGATGAGGAAACTGAGGCCCAAGGTCCCACAGCCAGGACTCACTCCAGAGCTTTGCCCGGCTCCTCCTGCTCCCCTGCAGCCTCCCCTGGGTCCATGGAGAAACTGAGATCAAACCAACCAGTGAATATACCCAGGGGCAGAATGAGGCCCCTCCTCCCGTGCAAGGGGCAGAGCCCCGCCCCCATCCTGGCTAAGCTGGGAGCCCCTCGCACACACAGCCTGCCTCAGAGGCTGTCGGGGCCCCTGCTCCCCTCCCCTAGAGCCGGCAGAGGAGAAGGGAGGGGCCCTGCCTCCCCGCTCATGGCCACGTCTGCCACAGAGATGTACCAGTTCAGCATCCAGGAGTCGGCGCCCATCGGCACGGCTGTGGGCCGAGTGAAGGCTGAGGACTCGGACGTGGGCGAGAACACGGACATGACTTACCTCCTCAAGGAGGAGAGCGGCAGCGGCGGCCATGTGTTCAAGGTCACCACGGACAGCGACACTCAAGAGGCCGTCATCGTTGTGCAGAAGGTACAGCTCTCCCGGGAGGAACGGGGGTGGGGAGCAGGCCCCAGGGGCACGGGGTCAGGCAGGCCTCGTCACATCCCCCACCCCGCTCCGCCCCAGAGAGCTGGTCTCTAGAGACCAGGGCTGACCCGGGAAGCCACGGATGCAGGCGACTGAGGCAGAGGGAGGTGAAGCCACTTGTTGGAGGCTGCACAGCCAATTGTCAGCGCTGAAATTCCATCTAGATTTTTTCTAATTTTTATTTATCATTTTACTTGGGGAGAGGAGTGTGGAGAGAGAGAGAGATCTTCCACGCCCTGGTCCAATCTCAAACACCGGCCACAGCCACGGCCGGGTCAGACCAAAGCCGGGGGCCAGGAACTCAGTCTGGCAGGGACCCAAGTACTTGAACCATGACGTGCTGCCTCCCAGAGAGCGCATTAGTAGGGATGCTGGAATCCAAGTCAGAGCTGGGATCGAACCCAGGTCCTCCAGTACGGGTTGCAGGCATCTTAACCACTGTCCCAAATGCCTGGCCCTCAGTGCAGACCTGAACCCGGGCTCTCAGACTCTGTGATGCGCTCCTTCAGGTCTGGGCTTCCCACTCATCACTTCCTTTCAGCTTTCTTAAGGCAATGTCTCCCTCTGTGTGTGTTTGTTTTACAGAGGCTCAGAGAGGGCGAGGGGTTGGCCCGGGGTCACAGCGGGGAGGGACAAGTGGGGTCTGAGTTGGGTGTGGGGACTGAAGCATTTTCCATCCGGAGTCTGGCAGCTCCGCCTCCCTCCCCACCGGACGGGAAGCCAAACCTGCAAACTCAGCGCTCCCCAGGGCCGAGGACAGAGGCCACATCTTCCAGGCTTCGGCCGGGGCCTCGGCCAGTCAGGAACGGCCCTCCAAGCTGTGAACCCAGCCCTAGTCTCCCACATGGGGTCTAAATCTCCTGCAGTGGCCCGCAAGTGGCCATCTGTATTCCTCCGGGGACAGGACCCTCACTCCATACCAGGGTCCAGCTCGCCCTGCAGCCAGACTCCATCTCAAGTCCACTCCCATCAGCCCAAGCGCAGCCTTCCAGGACCCGGCATAGCCCGGCCCTCCCTTCACTCAGCAGGCATGGGTGACCAGCCTCGCGCCTGGCAGGGAGGGTTGGGCGATCGCCAGGACTCGCAGGCCTTCTGGTACCTCCCGTGCAGCTAATAACAAAACAAGAGGTCACTACCACGTGCCAGGCTCCTGACTCCGCCCATCCCGACACCAACCCTCCTGTGCCCCCTTACTCTCCCTTTCCTAGGTAAGGAACCAGAGCCAGGAGAAGCCCCGGGACTTGCCCAAGGTCATGCCTCTAGCATGGCCCGGGGGATATAGACAACGTTGCCCATGGCCCTTACCAAGAGATAAGTCCACTTCATAGATGGAGACGTGGAGGCCCAGTGAGCACAGCGTCCATCTGGGAGCAGCAGAACCGGGGCCGCCTCGCTGCACTTGCTGCCTGCCCCGGTGCTGCCCCCTCTCCCTGCCCGCCCCAGCAGCGGCGCCAGAGGTGTGTCTGTGGCGACAGAGCCGAGGGCTCAGGGCAGAGCGCGCCTGATTGATGACCTGGCTCTGGTCTATCGCTCACTCCCGGGCCAGGCAGTGCCTGCCTCCTGCATCCTTATTTCCCAGGCAACCGGCTGCGGGAAGAGATGGCCTCTGTGCGCTGGGCTCTGGGAGGCAGGGCAGGCACCGGCTTTGGGCTCCGGGAAGGTCACCTTTGCCAATGCAGTCACACCCCACCATGCCAGCCGGGGCCTCGCAGCTCTGCCGCCAATATTTCTCTGGGCTTGGAAACCCAGAGCCCACCCAGCACTGTGCTCACTCATCAGAGGGTCACCCATGAGCACCCCGGAGGAGAAGCCCAGCTCAGCGTGGATCCAGGCAGCTCTTGGGGGAGAGCGCCGAGACAGCCTGGCTTAGCAGGCTCAGTTGGCATCAGTGGCTCCTTCCTGTGCATGCGGGGACGTCTCCCTCCTTTCACCCGAGACCCAGGGAGCCTAACTGGGACAGCAGCAGCAGGGGCAGGATTTGTTTTTGAATATTTTATTTACTTGAAGGTGGTGGGGAGAGATCTTCTATCCGATGATTCACTCCCCAAAGGACTGTAATGGCCACATCTGGGCCGGGCTGAAGCCAGGAGTCAGGAACTCCATCCGGGTCTCCCACATGGGTGCAGGGGCCCAAGCATTCAGGACATCCTCGGCTGCTTTCCCAAGCGCATTAGCAGGGAGCTGGATGGGAAATGGAGCAGCCAGTGCTCCAGTATGGGATGCTGGCTTCCCAGCTGCGCCAGGACAGCGGCCCTGGGGTCTGGAGCCAGGCCCGCGGGGCTGCTCACCAACACCCTTTGCTCTCCCGGTGTTAAGAACCCAGGACTTGGGAGCCCTGCTCCCAAGGTTTCAGACTCCGGGGTTTGAATCCTGCTGTGCTAACAACTGTGTGCTCAGTGACCTGAAGCCTTGCTGGCCTTGGTTTTTTCAAGTCCAAGTTGAGCTGCGGCTGCTACTGATTCCATAAGCCTCATGGGTTGTTGTGAAATTGATTGGCTGTTTTTAACATACTGGCATGCAGGCTGAGGGACCTCAGCTTCCCACCTGTAGCTGCAGCCCAGGTACCAGCAGGTGTCCCCGAAGAGGGGACACTGCCCACCCTCACCCCCACATCCACCTGACCGCCCCGCAGACCGCAGCCCCCTAACCAGCCGTCTGCTCCGCCCTCCGCAGCACCTGGACTTCGAGTCTCAGCCCGTGCACACCGTGGTCCTGGAGGCCCTCAACAAGTTCGTGGACCCCCGCTTCGCCGACCTGGGCACGTTCCGCGACCAGGCTATCGTGCGCGTGGCCGTGACCGACGTGGACGAGCCCCCCGAGTTCCGGCCGCCCTCCGGCCTCCTGGAGGTGCAGGAGGACGCGCAGGTGGGCTCCCTGGTCGGCGTGGTGACGGCGCGGGACCCCGACGCCGCCAACCGGCCCGTCCGGTGAGACCCCCGCCCGGGGCCGACGCCTGCTGCCTGCTATCCCGCCACCGCCCCACCCCGCGCACCGACGAGGGAGGGGAGGGTCGGTGCACAGAGAGGGGGAGGAACTGGCTGGCGGCCAGAGAGCCAAGGAAGCAGATGTGGGGACAGCCGCAGGGGACACGAGGCAGCCAGGAGAGGAGCACAGACGGCAGAGGCCGCGCGGGGCGGGGTGGGGGGCTCGCGCCCGGCGCCGCCCCGCCGGAGTCCGCCCCGCCTCCCTCCGAGAGGGGAGCATGCGTGCACGTGCACGCGCGCACACAACACTGAGCGAAGCAGCCCACCGATGTTTCCTGCTTCTCTTGAGTCACGCGCAGCTCCGTTCTCCCAGTTGCCTGGTCACAAGTGGCGGAGGCCTGCCCAGCCGCGCGGTGTCTCAGCTCTGCCCCTAGTCTGCAGCTCCCTCTCCTTGCCCACTGTCCGCATCAGCAATGCCCGCCTCTCTCCACCTTGGCTGCGGCCCCCCGGGGCCAGGCCACCACCCATCTCACCCCCTCGCTGGTCTCCCTGTTCCTGGCCACACCCCTCTCTTACTCGAATCCATCGGGGGCATCCTGACCCTGCTCAGAGGGGAAGCGGAGCCTGGCGCCTCCCCGAAGCACCTCCTGGGCTGAGCGTGTGAGTCGGATCCTGACAATGACCTGTGACAATACGTGACCGGGCCTCCCGGCCACCTCCCGGCCGCGCCTCCTGCCACTCGCCTCCTCCCGGTCGGCCACAGCTGCACAAGCACAGTGCTGCTCCTGGTCCCCCGACCCAGACTGTTCTCGGCCTGGTGTCTCCATCCGGGTCCCTGCGCACTTTGTCCCTCCCAGCACAGGGGAGCGCCAGGCAGGGAGGGCTTCTGTCGCTTTGTGTACACACAGGGGACACGGGCTGAATGAATGAAAGGTAAAGAGAGAGAGACAGACAGACAGACAGACTCACTGAGATGTGGCGAAGCCAACAAGAGGGGAGGGGTCAGAGCGACAAGAGCCCGTGGGAGGAGGCCGAGGGATGCGCCCAGCCATGGAGAGACAGAGCAGAGACTTGGAGAGAAGCCAGGCAGGGGACGAAATGACGCGGGAGAGACAGGGGCAGAGCAGGACAGGAAGGACCTGGGGTCCTGCAGGGGTCCCGAGTCCCTGACTGTGGCCTGGGCAGGGTGGAGGCCACATAGGAGAGAAAGGAAAGAGTTGAACAGATCCAGGGGAGGAGGCAGGGCCCTGGGGCCGGGGGGCGGGGAGGGAGGCATGGCCAGCGTCTGAGGGGTGGGGCAGGGGCTCAGCCCCTCCTGCTTCCTTCCGAAGGCCTGGACGTGGTCCGTGAGTAGCCCCTGAGCTGACCGTGTGTCTAGCTCCGTGCTGGGCATTCAGGAGGAGGGAGAGGAGGTTCAGTTGAGGACCTCCGCATTTTGCAGTTCCAGAGGCTCCATTCCCATCATTGCCTTATCTGAATGACGCTCTTGCAGTTGTAGGGTGCACAACGTGTGCAACCTTACGTGGCAGCCCTAGGTGAGGCCATCCTGCTGAACTGCCCCATGGGCTCTCAGACTGGGGGAACAACTCTAGAGGCCTGGGAAGACTTCCTGGAGGAGGCAGGAATTGAACTGGATGTCTGGATCTGGTCAGGTGTCATTTTGAGGGGAAGGGCATTCCAGGTGAAGACCCATCTATGCAGCTGTGCGGAGGCAGGAGAGGGAAGATGTGTTCGGGGGAGAGCAGCCGAGGCGGCTCAGCTGGCCAGGGAGGCGGGACACAAACGGAACCTCAAGTGCGGGCCAAGCGGCACCGATCTGGTGCTGCTTCCTCCTTCCGCTGCCTCTGAACCCCTCACCTCTCTTCCACCCGGGCTGCAGGCACAGTGCAGCAGAGAGAGAGAAGGAGGGAGAGGGCGAGGGAGAGGGGGAAAGAGAGAGAGAGAGAAGGAGGGAGGGAGAGAGGAATTTTCCATCTGCTGGTTCACTCCCCAAGTGCCCACCACAGCCAGGGCTGGGACAGGCAGAAGCCAGGAGCCTGGCCCTTCATCCGGGTCTCCCCTGAGGGTGGCAAGGACCCACATACTTGAGCCATCACCCACAGCTTCCCAGGGCGCACGTTAGCAGGACGCTGGATTAGAAGCAGAAAGGGGATTTGAACCCAGCCACTGCTGCACCAAGCCCCGCCCCACCCCAGCGCAGTTGTCAAGCATGCCCCTTCCCCCCTCCCCAGCCGCCTCTGGTGTGACCCAGGCCTCTCCCGGGGGGACCGTGCTAGGTCTAGTTTGTCGGAGAGCAGAGACGGCAGCTGCTGCAGGTCTCCCGGGGAGCCGAGAGCCAGCGCCGGGCCCAGGTCAGCGCTCCTGTCTGCAGCCGCCTCCTCGCCACTCTCCTCGCTCCCCCGCTGCCTCCTCCCCTGCCTGGCTTCCCGCCCCTCCTGCTTTTATCTGCGAGGAAAGGGCCAACTTTGAAACGTGCTCCTCACCTCCTTTCATCTCTCCTTGCTGCCCCCATCCCTGGGGCTCTTCAGACGTGGAGCTGAGACAGGGCCAATTTAACACCGCAAACATTTACCCGACTCCTCCTCTTTGCCCGGCCCTGCGCCAGCCTGGGGATGCGGAGATGACTCAGCCAAGGGCAGGGGACAGGTGTGGAGATGGGAAACAGGGGAGCGGCTGTGTGAGACACACAGAGACAGAGACAGAGACAGGGTCCGCCCAGGCCCCAGCTGCCGCCCAGAGCCCCCTGGGTCCCGGCTCCTGGGTTCCCCTGGGAGGAGGCACTTCCCAGGCAAGGGATGATCAGAGGAGACCCCTGCCCTCTGGAGAGACCATCAGCAAGTGTGAAATGCAGCTATGAGCTAGAAAGAAGAGTCATGTAGGAGGGAGGAGGCCATGGGGGCCCCTGTGGAGATCCCCCGGGGTCCAGCCTGGCAAGGCTGTAGCAGATGAGCATTTCTGGTACCAGCAGGACCAGCAAGTGCAATGGTCCTGGGGCAGGATCCTGGAAGCGACGTGGCATCCAGGAAGACTGCCTGGCTGCGTTCGAGGGGTGCGGTAGGCACGTGGACAAAGGGATTTCCTGAGCCCCTGCGCTGGGCGGAGTCGGAGGGGTTGGATTCCCCCCTCGGGAAGAAACTGAGAGTCAGAGGGCGGAAGGGACTTGCCTAGGGCTGCCCAGTCCAGACAGGGAAGGCAGCCTCCTGGCCCGTGCCTGCCACGTCACCCTGTTCTCACCCTGCAGGTGCCGCCTCTGTCCGGCACCCTGCCCGGCACACAGAGATGAGTCAGACACGGGGCAAGGGGAGTCTGGGACCCCTGGGCCCCATCCAGAGACAGATCCCAGTCCCAGGGGACTTGGGTGGGGGGACCAGGGGCGGGGTGAGTGCTGTGGGCACAGGGAGGGGTGAGGTGGCCCCTGAGGGAGGACGCAGAGGAGGAGGTCTGGAGCGGAGCTGGTATTCCAGGGGGAAGTGGCACAGAGGAGTCGGGGCAGAAACAGAATCACGGAGCCAGGAGGTCAAGTTCAAGAGCAGGGAGATGGGCTCGAGGAGCTCACAGCCGGGGCACCTGGGGTCGTGAATGTCAGGTGAAGTGCAACTGGGTCCCACGGGCAGTGGGAAGGCTGTGGAGGGCGGGGCAGAGGGCTCGGCATGGCGGGTCTCCCTCCAGGAAGCCACTTGTTAGTCCGCGGGGTGCCCTGGGCCAGGCCAGTGACCCCTGCATCGGCACCCAGCGTGCCACAGCAGGCTACAGCAGAAAGCCCCTGGGCTTTGGGGTCAGAGAAGCCTGGCGTCCAATCCCAGCTCGGCTGGAGAATTCCATTCGAGTCACTGCACAGCTCCAAGCCTGTTGCCCAGCGTCCTGGTCCTTCCTGCCTCAGCCACCCAGGTTCCGAGGTCGGTGCTCCGTGCTCCCAGCGCTGGGGGGAGCGCCAAGGCCCCGGCGCAGAGTAGCAAGGGGACACCTGGCTGGTGTCTGGTCACCCACTGCCCCTCCACCCTGCAAGCCGCACGCACCATGGTCGTCGCCAGGCGTTGCGGGAGGGCTTCTAAGTATGCACCTCCAAGGGGTGCGGGGAGAGGGCAGGAATCATGGGCAGGGGTGGGAGCGGAGAGGAAGCCCTTGGTTGGGGGTGCTTTGTATCTGGAGACCACCCCCCACTCGAGGGGCTGGGGCGGAGGCTGCCTGCTGAGCCCACCCCCAGGCACGCAGGGCCCTCGAAGGAACAGCCTGCCGCTTTATTAAGCCTGTGTGTGTTATCTATGCACATATTCATGTGGAGAAAACCCACAGGCGCGGTGGGAAGCAGCACCCGCCCCTTCCCGCACCCTAACCTGCACGGCGGCAGAGCTGGTGCCGTCCTCCCAGCTCCTGCGACTGCCAGCAGGGGTACCTGGCTGGCTCTGCACGGGGTGCCCCCAGACCTGGGCCTCTGGGGAGGCCCTGAGGTTTCCAACTGCCATTCCCCGCCTCCCTTGCAGCCGTGCCTGCGCCCCCACCGTCGGGTCCTGGCAGGACTCCAAAACTGATGCAGAACCTTCTAGACCACAGCTGCCTCCTGCCCTTCTCAGGCCACTGGCCACGCTCCAGCGTCCATGCCCGGCGCTGCCCACGCCCAGGCCCCCAGGGCGCCCGCTGGGCTGGGGGCCTCCAGTGCCTGCTCCTGGCCAGACAACTCGGAGCGATGATTAGAATAACAATAGTTCCCATTTGTAGAGTAATTTTCCTGGAACTCAGCGAGGCACCTTACAGGCACTTGATCCTCCCTGTAACTTGCGAGGTAGGATTAGCAGCTCCGCTCCCGCTGAAAATTAAGCCTCAAACACACGAAGTGACTGGTGGGGGGTGGGGGCAACAAGAGCCGGCATCCAGACTCGGGGCGGAGCGGCTCTCCCTGCGCCTCCGCTGCTGCAAACACTGCACACGCTCCCGCACACGCGCTCACCGCTCGCACAGACCAGACCTGCTCGGGAGGTGTCCCAGCCCCCCCCTACCCCCACCCTCACAGTTGCCAGGCCACAGCCCTTGCCACGTGCACGGAGCCGCTCTCTCCTCTCCCTCCCACTCATTCGCTGGCTCCAAGCACTGGAACAAAAACACCTGGGTTCAGCCAGTGTCAGCCCAAGTGTTTAGCTGGTTAATGGCGAGTCCCCGCGGCCCCCGCCCAAGGCCTTGGGAACAGCTGCCTCCACTTAGATGCCAGCCCTTCCCTCCCCCTGCTTCTAGAAAGAGACAGAAGAGAAGAAGGGGTGGGGGGAGAGGTCTGAGAGAGGGGAGAAGCAGCAGGGAGGCAGCGGGCGCCGTCTCCCTGGTCCTGCCTGTGCCCAGTGCCCAGCGCTGAGCCCCCAGGGCGCCGTCCTCGCCTGCGGAATCCAGGAGGCCACCCCCCGCTTCCTTCCAGCTGAGCCCACGCTCGGGATCTCTACCTCCTTAGGGCCCAGGCGTGTGACCGGGGTTGGGGGCGGGGAGGACTGAGGCTCCACACACTATGGCTTTGGTTCCACAAGCTAGAAAGAACTCTGGGTGCGGAGACCCCAGCATGGGTGCAAAGTGCAAAGCTCTGGCAGCCGCCGTGCAGCCTTGGGCAAGGTCATGGCTGCCTCACCTGGCCCTTTCGTATGAAGAACTGGGGGAAGATAATGACAGTCCCAGGGCTAGCGTGCTGCGTGGCTGGGAAGCAGAATGCTGGCTGGAATTCATCCCCTCCCCTGCTTCCCCTCCTCAGCCTGGTGCCTTTGCGCATGACACAACCTGCACAACCATACATGGCAGTCCTAAGCATGCACGTTTCCTCTTTGAGCCTCAGTGCCTTCATCTGCAAAATGGGTAGCATCTCATCAGCCTCACAGGATGCCTGGCAGGGACCTTGGCTGTCTCCTTGGCCACTTGCTGCCCAGTGCCCGGCTCAGTGAATGTGTAGGACATAAAAGGAAGAATGGAGGGCAGGCGGGGGTGGGGGCAAGCCCCCTACCAACCCTGCGGTACCCACTGCGAAGCGATAACCACCGTAGGTCTGCAACTTCCCAGCCGCTTTCCCCCTGGCTGCTGGGACCCGGCTGGTCGCGGGGAGGGAGGGCTGTAGGCTCGGCATCTCAGGGGGTGGCAAGGAGCGAGAAACCGGGGTTCGGGAACCTGCCCACGGGCACTGCCCTCACCTCCACCCCAGCAGCCTTCAGAAAGATCCTAAGGGCCGCCGCCCCCACCCAGCTCCTCCTAACCCCCAGCACCGTGTGGGAGGTACCCCATTTTCCAGATGAACAAGTGGAGGCCAAGGAGGCAGAGTGTCTTGTCCAGGGTCACACAGGTAGACTAAGTAAGGGGCAAAGGCTTCCTTCAGGCCCAGGTGGGGCAGCTGTCAGACCTGTCTCTGCAGATGGCACCATCCCCATCCAACAGATGGGGAAACTGAGCCCCCGAGAGGCGCCGCCAGGCAGCCAGACCCCACCCAAGGGTCCTCAGTGTTCCCTGGGCCTCAGTTTCCCTCCCGCGGGTGGGAGGGGAGGGCAGCTCTGGCTGGGCTCCTCCCTGCAGCTGCTTTGTCCTCCCCGCACAATGAGCCTTTGCTTGGCTTTCGGGGGCCTTTGTGGGCGTGCAGCCCGGCCATGCCCCCGCACACCTTATCAGCGCCGGGAAGCGGGGCCGGCGCTGGCGGGGCCTCTCTGGGCCGCCGCTGCCCGAGACAAGTGTTGGACACGGGCCTTTCAGGCCTGGAGCCGACGCACAAAGGCCCTGGAAGAAGGCGGAACAAAGGGCTTTTTCACACGGCAACTGAAAGCGGCAGATTAGCTCGCGCGGGCCGCGCAGGCAGGAGGGGCCGCAGGCAGACCCCAGGACCCGCTGGCCCGGCCCTGGCTCAGCGCGGATGCCCTGTCCCGGGCCTCCACGCCAAGCAGCGGAGAAGCCTCCTAATGCCACAAGTGGCCCCTGTCCCCTGTCCCCATCGGCTCTGGGTGCTGTGCGCTGCCTGCACTCCAGCTGGGGCCACTCCGCCAATTGGCCTTGCGCTTCTGTTCCCCTGCCTGGAACGCCGGCCCCGGGCCCTTCCCTGCCTTCAAGCCCGAACCCAGGGTGGGCTCCCCCGGAAAGTTCAGAATGCACACGGGTGCTGCTGCGTGTGCCAGGTGCCTTGCGCACGCCGGCCCTCACGGCAACTGTCAGTCCCACAGCCCAGCAAGGCCAAGGCCCGCCTGTGGCCACTCAGCAGGTGTGACCGGTGCAGGCGGCCCCCACCCTAGCCCCTGTGTGTCCGCCCACCTCGGAAGCTCCCTGTCTTGGGGTGGCGTGGGGGGGCCTGGGCTCGGGCTGCAGCCGGCACCGGGCACCTTCAATCAGCCCGCCGTGCCCCCTCAGGTACGCCATCGACCGCGAGTCGGACTTGGACCAGATCTTCAACATCGATGCGAACACAGGGGCCATCGTGACCAGCAAGGGGCTGGACCGGGAGACCGCCGGCTGGCACAACATCACGGTGCTGGCCATGGAGGCAGGTGAGCTCGGTGGCCTCCAGGGACAAATACGGGGAGGCGGGCTGAAGGGTAGCTGTCAATCACAGGCCATAAGGGAGGCGCCAAGGGTGGGGTTGGGGCAGAGAGTAAGAAACTTAGCAGAGAAAAAGTTGATGAGAAGGAACCAAGATGTGGGGGCTGGGGAGGGGTCTCCACCCTGGGGGTGGGGCTGGTTGTGAGGCTGGCTCTCTGGGTGCTGAGCACCTTCTCTGTGCCAAGCCCCGTGCTAGAGGCCAGGGATACAGCCTTGCACAAGGGGAGAGCTAAGCCATCGCCAGCCCATCCTACACCGGGTGATGCTAAGTGCTAATAGGAAAGGAAGAGAAGCAGGCTTGGAGCGGGCGCTGTGGGGGAGGGGGGCTTCTCTCAGGGGAAGGCTGCTCTGGGGGGAGACTGTAAGGTGAGAGTCTTGCCGGTGTCGGAGGGGAAGCATTGCAGGCTGCTGGGACAGCCCGTGCAAAGGCCCTGGGGTGGCAGTTTGCCTAGCGAGTGGGAGGAACAGCAAGGAGGCCAGGGTGGCTGGGGAGGGGCAGAGCGATCAGCCATGGTGAGGTCTGTGGGCTTCGCTCCGAGGGCAGTAGAGGTCCTGGGGGCGGGGGGTGACGGTGCCTCTGGCTGCCACACTGAGAGCAGACTAGGAGCTGAGCGGGCACCAGGGAAGTCCTGGGGAGCTGGGGCGGGTGCAATGGGAGAAGTGAGAAGCAGTGTGCTTTGGGGTGCAAGCTGAGCTTGGTGACAGAGCCGGCGGGACCTGCCGATGGGCCGACACGGAGTGGGAGGACGATGTGGGCTGCTTGGCTTGGCCTGAGGTTCTGGAAGAGTGAGTGTGAGTGTGTGTGTGAGTGTGTGAATGTGAGTGTGTGTGTGTGAGTGTGTGTGTGGCACAGGCGGTTCGCTGAACTGGCAGACGAAGGTTATCCCTAAAACGGGTTCAGATCTGGGAGGCCGGGAGGCAAGAAGCTGGGAGTGGGAGGGAGGGGCGAGCTCAGGAGCAGGAGCGGGCAGGGGCTGAGTGGGGGGGGCTTTCCAGCAGCCCCCCAGCCCCGCTGTCAGCCTGCCCTCCCCCCACCCGGCTAGTGTCCCCCGCTCCCCGGCCCCACTGGCCCATTCCGGCCGAGGAAGTCCCTAGGCTGAAGTTCTCTCGTCTCTTTCAACTGCAGTTTAAAAGAAAACACAAAGCCGGCTCAGCCCTCAGTGCCTGCTGCTCCCCAGCCTTTGAATCCACTCCGCCGCCGCTTGAAAGGGAGATGACAAAGGTGGCTGGAGAGGAAGTGGCGGCCGGAGTGGGGGAGACAGCGCGCCTCCCGGCCTCCGCGAGCCCGCTCTCAGGGCAGCCCCCAGCCTGCAGGCTGCAGGTGCACACGGAGCCGGGGAGGGCCTGCCTGGCCCCGGGCACGGCCACTTCCTCTCCTCACCCCCACGCAGCCCCACCTGCTGACCCCTGCCCGACCTGCCCCACTGGCAAGTCCCCTGCTGAGGCAGGCCTCGTGCTTCTGCCCAGGCGGTCTCCTTGGGAAAGCAGCGGGGACAGCTGCAGGGACTCCTTCACGGGGACAGCTCAGGCCACAGAGAGGAGGGTCACTCCTTCACGGGGACAGCACAGGGACGCTGGCAGCAGGGTCACTCCTTCACCGGCGTCTTCCAGTTCTCACTTCGGATCTGTCCCGGGGACGGGCACCCGGCAGAGTGTCGCTTGGGACTCCCGCATCCCCGATTGGCAGCTCCTGGGTTTGAGTCCAGCTTCCTGCTCATGCGCACCTGGAAGGCAACAGGCGATGGCTCAGGCACGTGGGTCCCTACCACTCACGTGGGAGATCTGATTCCCAGCTTTTCACCTTAGCCTTCCCCTCTCTCTCTCTCTCTCTCTCTTTCTCTCTGTCTCTCTCTTTCACACACACACTTTATCTCTCTGTCTTTTATATATCTATTCTAGAATAGATGCTTTCTAGTACATACTTTTATTGAGTGAGTCATGATCGACACCCATTTTACTGATGGGCAGACTGAGGCTCGAGGCATTAGGAGAGCAAGGATGTACAATGATGCAGCCAGGATTCGCTGCTCGGTCCCCTCCCTGGCATCTGTGGGTGGCCTTCCTCCCCCCAGCACTCTGCTCGCTGTGTCCTGCCCAAGCACATGGCCGCTGTTGGTGACAGAGGAAGACTGGCCGCTGGGCTCGGACGCCCTCTCTGAGCCTCACCTGCCCGGTGTGGTACTCAGGGGGGCGTGGCTGGCCCCACCCCTCAGTGCTGTGGGCGGGCTCCACAGGACCCGGAGGTGCTCAGCCTGGTACTTGGTGCTGTGTGCATGCTGACCTGAGCAGACTGTGCGCCCACCTTTCCCGTGAGGCCCGGGGAGTCTTCACACCTTGGGGTGTCCATTCCGTGACCCCCCCAGTATGCGGGACTCAGAGGGGTGAAGGCCTTTGTTCAAACTCCCCTGCCGCAGCCTGACTCAGAGCCCAGCTCTCCCGCCACTGCCCCCCCCCCCCGCGTCTGGATCCCTCGGTGCTGTCGCAAGTAGCCCCCCTGCTGTCTCCGTGAGACAAGGACAGCATTTTTAGCCCCATTTTACAGATGGGAAGGAACAGCCATGGTCCCGGAGACCGTGGAAGAAACCCGCCCAGGGCCAGGGCTCCCTCTCAGACCTGCCACCCAGCAGGCGCCTGCGTGTGCCCTCCCGGGCGACGCCAGCAGGTCCCCACCTGGCCCTGAGCCATCCTTGTGTGGAAGCCTTCGTACGGTTTCCTCGGAAACAGTACGCTCAAGGGGTCAGGCGGCCCCGCCTGCTCCGGGCGAAACAAACAGGAGGTGACAAGAATCAGAGGGGAAATATTTATACACCGTGGCGGGCTTGGGAGCACCTGGGAGGACGCTCCCTCGGCCGGGAGCTGCCGCCTGTCACAGCGGATTGCCCCCAGCCCGGCGAAGCACTTAGTATGCGGGGGCCCCTCTCCCGCACTTCTGAGTCATCCATTCTGCCTGTGCAGACGCTCCTTCCACTGACATTATCTTTAACGTTTTGTAATCATGAAATATTAATGACCAATATTGAATTTAAAGTACAATTTGTGTCTGAATCCTTCGGTGGAAAGGGCAGTTGTAAAGGGACAATCTTCAAAGAGACGGGGTGGGGGGGAGCGGGGTGCCAGGACGCCGCTTGTTCCCTCCCCAGGGTTGTCAGTACCCCGCCCCCACCCCCCGCTGCTCTGCAGGGCTCACATCCAGCTGTCCAGGACAGCAGAGGGCTAATGGGACCGGCCGGAAGCTTCCCCAGCTGGGTCACCCCAGGCCAAGTCCCCGCCTCCCGTTGCACGCTTGCTTGCGTCATGATTTATGGATGCGTTTGCATGGGTGTGCCCCCTCCCCGGAGACGGTCTGGTCCATGAGGGCAGCCACACGCTTGCATACCCAGGGAGGAAAGCTGGCCCGGGGATGGGGCGCCAGTTCTGGGGGCGCGGTTCCCAGCTCGCTCGCGCATGTGTTGCTTTGGTTTTCTCATGGATGAAATGAGGCGACAAGGCCTGCCTTACGGTGGTAGGAGAGGAACCGCTCGCCAACAGCAGCCGCTGTCGGTCCAAGCTCTCGTAGGCGGGGCATCGCGCTGGGTGCTTTGCATAAGACATCCCTTATCCTCGGGATTCGGACTCAGGACTCACTCAGGGGCTCCAAGCGCCTATCCCAGTGCCCGACACTCAGTGGGCGCTGTTAATAGCCCGGGAAGGAATCTGAGCCCAAGAGGGGCTGTGAGAAGCAGTGGACCCCAGCCCCACCTGCCCTACTGCACAGAGGGAGGCCGAGGAAGGGAGCAAGCTGCCCACGCCCGTCTGACGCCAGGGCTGTCTGACTCCCAGCCCAGTGCTCCGGAGCAGGCCCAGAGGGCCTGGAGGAAGGAGCAGGGAGGCAAAGTGAAGAGTGGGGGGCAGTTGGGCTTGAACGGCGGGCAGCGCTGTTTCCCCCAGGGACGCTCCCGTGGCCGCCCTCAGCCAGTGCTCTTGCCCTGCACCCACAGGGCTCCGGGGAGCACACACGTGGGCGGGGAGAGGCCCATCCTCAGGTGGTGACAGCACGGACTGCAGGAGAGGCTCCACGGGGGCTCCGGGGCAGCAGGCGAGGGGACGCAGTTCAGGCAGAAAAGACCCCTGGGGGCGTGGCGGCCTGCTGCCCGTCCTGAGAAGGGAAGGGTGTTCGAGGCTGGGGCTGGGGGCAGCGGCCTGCACAGGTGAGGCGAGGTGAGGGTGAAGCCACTGCCTGTACAGGGAGGGCCCTGGGTGGCCCGTGAGCAGCCAGGCATCTCCTGGAGGCCGCCAGGAGCCAGTTCAGGTCTTGGAGCAGAACGCCAAGATCAGAGGTGGGGTCCCCCGTGCTCCCTGGGGTTCTGAGACAGGAGCAGGCCTGGAGCCCAGCTGGGAGGCCGGGAAGAAGCCTCGGGCCCAGCTGTGTGCAGTGGGGGAGGAGTGAGGGGGGCAAGGCGGGGCCGAGCCGGGTAGTGGGGTGCTCCGGGGAGGCTGAGGCAGGGCCTCTGGGCAAGAGACAAGTCACACTGTGCCCCGCAGGAGCTGCTTGGGGAGGCGGTGTGCTCCCCACCGCCCGAGGGGTGTGGATCAGGCCTGGGCTCAGACTGGACGGCTCCTGGGACGCTGTGCCCCCTAAGTGCCTACAGGTACCCACAGGAATGAAGCTCTTGTGACGGCCTGGGAACTCCGTGGGCCAGCCCTGAAGGTCAGCCTCCACTCAGCCTAGGAAGGAAACCTCTGCCCACCCCCAGCCCCAGGGCTACTCCCCCCTCCCCAGAAGTCCTCCCCCGACCCTTGGAAGTGACCCTTCGACCCCACAGGTCAAAAGCTCCAGTGTCTACTGGGAAACCAAACAGGCGAGCAGAGGCCCCGGGAGAGGCAGAGGAGAGCTGGAACCTGGAGGGGCCCGGGGACCCAGCAGAGAGGGCCAGGAGGCCTGAGCCGCGGCCCCAGCCCCACGGCCCCC